ACTCCTTTTAAGTTCTCTTTATCGTATTACATTTGTGCAAAAAAATCATTTATTGTGATCCGTTGTTTGGTGTAATATCGTATGCTAATACTGAATCAATTTTAACCATTTTCTATGGAGTCAGCAATCGTAGTTCAGATTATGCTCCCATTTTACTTTATTACTCATAAGGCCCGGGGGCGTACTCCCCCTCAACTTGAGACCTCAAAACCCTGACCCTGATCCAGAGTGAAATCGCAGAAAACCATACCCTGTTCCAGAGTAAAATCGCTGAAAACGATAGCCTGTTCCATAGTAAAATCCAGCAGTAGCTTGCGTGTAGACCGAATTTTTACCCCGTGAATTTTTACCCAGCATCAATAATTTTGGAATTAAACCCTGACACTGTTCCAGAGAAAATTCGTTGAAATCGATACCCTGTTCCAGAGTAAAATCGCTAAAAACGATACCCAGTTCCAGAGTAAAATCGGTGAAAACGATACCCTGGTTGACGGCACGTCCCCGTATAGCGAATACCCCCCGGCACCCCTCCGGGTCATAAGTTTTCCTTTTCCCAGCATGTTGTTGCTGTTCTGCCAGATCTTCTTGTACAAAACAGTGTACCCATTCTCTCTTAAATTTCCTGCGCGGCCCGAAGGGCCGGAAAAAAATTCCTGCAAGGCAAAATATTGAAAAATCTCCACTAAAGCTTTTAAAGATAAACACAAGAAGCCTTATCCTTATTTATTTATCTCCAGTCCAAAATTTGTGACCCTCCCCTAAAGTTCCTTTGAAAAAATATAACCCTCCCCAAACACACATCCAAACAATGTGGCCGTCCCCACAAATTTAGTGCCCCCCTCCCCAATAAATAATGATAAGTCCCTTAAAAGCTGTAAATCGATCAGCACGGTAAATCTTGAGATTTTTCATTCATCCTGCCAATCAGTGATCAATGACACTATACCCAGTCCTCCACGTCTTAATATCAAACAATACAAGCCCCAACTAAAATGMCATCTTGTAAACCCYGATGGACAATGCCTTCAATATAACAAGTAACCGAGTTGTAGGTACTTGATTAATTCAAGTTAACTCAATTATCGTGAAGGAGGCTCTTTTAGTTGTTTATCCTAGTGTAAGAATAGGCATCATCTGCACATTTTTAACGCTTAATTCACTAAAGATCTAGAACGGTGAACTAAAAAAAATGTCGCCAATGAATACACTAGCCTTCAGTTGTTGACAAAAACATAATTAAGTGAAGAGTTTGCAGAAGTAAAGAAAACGAGACTTTGGATATTCTAATATATTATTGTATTGTAAACTTTAATTACGCTGACTGACAGATTTTGCGGTTTACGGTCGATGGTGGCACCTGCTGGACAAACTAAACTATTCTACTTTGAGCACGTAGTCATCGTTCATCTCGCCAATGATTCAATACACTTGTCATTTGCTTGTCTTATTCTTTAGTATTGTTCTAAAGTTCTTCGCAGTGATATTCCATAGTAACCCATTCATCATACATTTTGACACTTTCGATGCGCCCAGGGGGTTTGTGGATTCACCTCCCAAGGACTAATAGACTCTAGTCAGTCGGAGGTCCTTTTGATATCGTGGAATAAAAGTTTGCCTCGTAAAATAAGTATGTAAGTTTAGACRGAAAAGAGCTAAACCCACTTASAATGAACTCAATAGAACATGAAMAWTATGCTTTCAATACTTTTAGGGAATTATTTTTTTGCCTTACTGGCTCATATTGATGTTTGCGATGTTGCTAGCAATRATGGTGCMCAAAGWTATTGTTTTGTAGTTTTGTAACAGTTTCTCTTAAAATCAACACCGAGTGCTGTGATTGTTTATGTCCCTGCGGTTTTATTTGAATACTTCTTACCATAGAAGTTCTCTACGCCTTTTTTAATAGAGAGAGAAATTGCAAATAAATTATCAATTTGATAACTAGTTTTGATAAATTCGTTGCCATTATCGTATGCAATTAAGATGTCGGAACTATCAAAAAGACTAATAAAGAATAATATTCTGTGTTGATTTTAGGCATAGCTCAATAGGAAATATCTTTGAAAAGTATTTAAAGATTATTTGGTAATTTAGGTGATAGCTACAAAGTCATTATTAATCCAGCAACTTGTTTTAGAAATCCGTTTTCGTGCTACTGAAAAAATCACTGGCTGATAGCAAGTAGACTTTAGGAGTGTGTAATACCGCTCTATAAATAAAACATAACTGCTAAACTTGTGGTTGATTTCTAAGTGGAATTAACTTGGCACAAAGCCATTCTCTTATTATAATGATCTAATCCAACCGGTTGTACAGCATACATTGATATTGTCAATTCACTATTCAAAGCAAATTACGGTTTCAAATTAAAAAGAAACAAAGTTTCAAATTCCCAATGAAAGATTTTTCATTACAAAACAGTTTTTTTTTTGATGCTATAAACGTCTGCTGCAGAGGCTACATCCACCGAAAAATGTTGCAAACTGGAGTACTTGTTTGATATCAAGGGAGTCACGCTCGAAATCCCGTGTTCTTGTAATATTGCTTATGTGATCACATTTTGCTATTTGCAGTAACGAATTTGTTACCATTGTCAGATTCCACAAGAATCATAATTGCTTGTGTGATGAATTTTTACAGCTCAGAAATACACTTCAACTCGGGCCCGCAATTAATAAGCATTAAAAAGTGGCTTTCAAATACACCTGTTTCAGCCAGAACCACGGGTTGCTATTGGTCGTTTAAGGCGCCGTCTAAAGTCTATTTATAATTGAAAGTTGTGGAAGGCCTGGCAAAAGGAACATACTAGCGTTTGACGGACCAAGTGTACTGAGCTATCAAACAGTGTTACCATGGGCAAGTRGTGATTAGTGTTGTATATCCACTAAAGACAGTTCTCTTCAAGAATCAATTTTGTTGTGACCATCATCAAACCATGAATTTATCAAGCGTTGTCTTTGAAATCTCGGTAAGATTGGTAAATGAGCTGAAAAGTATTTCATGATTTATGCAATTCTGCGATTAAACTACTAAACTACTTTTTCAGTTCCTTCTGATGCTGTACAAGTCGAATGGTGAGTAGATCCGACTTGTTTCTAAAATTCATTAAAAAGTTAGTAAGTTTTTTGTCGTGACCTTCCAAGTAGAATTCCATGTGCAAAAAAGAGTTTGTAGAAATAGGACTGCTGTCCTTTTTCCCGTGGTTCACCTTGAATAGCCAGGGAGGGGGTATCTGGTATTTGTTTCAAAAAGAAAGGAATTGTCAGACCTTACTCTTCCGGTRTCCATCTTTATTCGCATTCTCAAAAACTTATGTCGCAATTAGCCTCTTACCTCAATATCAAGGCAACACAACCTGTTATCACATAACAATATTTGAAATATGTCAGAGCTTCTTTACACCACAAATTCACTCACTACAATTAATGTAATTGCGTTTGCACAAAGCTAATTTCACTGTCAGATTACTTATTAGGTAGTCTCGAGTAGACGTTTAGTAAAGTCATGTGAAATGAAACCTTTATTTGCAATGTTCGGTGCGTATAGTTTTGCAACATCGGAAGGATACGAGCGGCTTGTGCAGTTGGGAATGTTATCTTGATCCCGCTCTAGTTAATACCCTTCAATTACACATGCTTTAAGAATCTATCAACTTCAGCAGTTAATACTTAGTTCCTAAAGAAATTCGATGGCAAATTGGTGGTTGAGAATTTAATTGAGAGAAAATTAACAGTACTTTTGCCTCTCCAACTAAATTTATGCATTGTTTAATAATTCAGAAAACCTTGACATTGTGATAGAATTGACAGAAAATTTTTACGATTATTTGATATCTATGGATACTGTAATGCATCTTTTCACATTCCTTGGCTAGCAACTTACTAAGATACAAGCTCCTCGCATTTCATGTGAAAAAGATTGGGTAGCTAAACGTGTTTTCCTTGAATGATCTAAATGTTTAACTAAGAAAAGTTGGCTGGCTGTGGCAGCAATACTGCCAAGTGAAGAATATTGACACTTTATGTTTGAATATCAGGTATGTTTTAGAGAAAGCCCGTTGTGTGTCATGTAGAAATCAGATCGGTCRTGAACGATTTATTCTGAATGACTTTGTTCACATGATTTGGTGACAGCGTTTTGCATACATCGCACGTTCTACCGGTCAACATTTTAGCTCATCGTAGGGAATATGAATTTTTCATTTAGTTTTAGCTATTAGTATCAAGCTATAGATGTAGTGATAAGTTGTATCATTGAAACAAGGCATTTTAGTGGGGTTTTTTTACGTATAATCACAAGAAACAAAGCAGTCAATATTGGCACTCCATTAATTAAGACTACAATCGGTCCTTCAACAGATTATAGACTTAATGGACATAATTTTAATGCCACTAAAGAGCTAAGCATTGTCCATGACAAAACCGTGAGAAATAAACTGATTTCAACGGTCTTGGCACGCTACACGTGGAGAGCAGATTTCACCTACGGCTGATATATTGTCTATTCGTATACATTAATCATATATCGTGAAAAGCGCAAAATTTGTATGTGGGAGTCTAGTTAAGTGGGCCAGCAAATAGCCATTGTTTATTTTTTTTTTTGTCGTCTGTACATTCAAAGTTCAAAAGTATCTGCTTCGATTGATAGTTTTGAATTGGTTTTGTAAAGTGTGTCGGCTTCTCCCTGCGAAGGAACACTAAATGTGGTAAAACCTACAGTTGATCAATATAGTTGAGAACACTCGTTCGCACACTTTTCATAATGGACCGTGTGTCTTGCCATAGCTTGAAAGCCTCGACGTATATTCGTCCAGAATAATTTACAATTAATAGAAATCTATACATCAGTTATGTGGAAATTGCCAGGCGCATGAGATAGTAGGGATGTAGCAGTCTCTTCACTATCGGCTCGCTGCGCAGTGATAAACGCCACTAGAGATTCGTTTGATTGTCGAGTGACGAATAGTTAGGTCAGCGATCGAGTACAAGCATGACATCGCTTACAACCTTCAATACATTGACTATTCAAGTATATTGGCTTAACATTCTAGTAACCATAATCGGCCGTAATAACGTAATGAATATTCAGTGTCAGGATATTTAAGTGTAGTTTTGTCCTTTGTTATCCAACTCTTTTATTTATTTTAAAAAAATAACAATAATTATAATAACTATGGAAATAGCTTTATCAACATTAACACTTCAACTATAATGCAAGACCTCACGAAAAAAAAACTTATAATATTATTATGTCAGCAATGTAACACATTTATTTGAATAAATAAACAGACAAGGGGACGGTGCAAAAATGAATGTAATTAGGCTAAAATTAAAATTGAAATAAAAAGTTTTTCCATATTCGGTAGTCAACTGTTGATATGTACTGAATGTTTGTCATTTGTCATTGATGCTGTGACAGTCAAATAAGTGTCAATGGTACTTAATAAGAATCATTTAAAATGGAACTTTAAAAGCGTATTTTCCATGTATTTCTGAGGACACGCGATAGTATGAACATACGTGTATATATGTACATAATACCAAATCAATAATGTATACTGATTTTAAGAGACTACTTTCTAGGCCAAGGTCAGCTAATGACGCAGTTCAGACACAGAATATGATGACAAAAAATTAAAGGTTCTAGATAACTTAGCACATGTTAAAACAAAATTTTCATAAACCCAAACAACAAAGCGCAATAAAGTGTGATGTATACTGAAAAGACAAGTATACATTGAAAAGTAATATGCTACAGTAGGTTAAATTGTTCAGTTTTCACGGGTAATGGGATGAAAATCTCATCGTACATCCCTTGTTCAAAACTAAAAAACACACCAGTGATTTCAATAAGGAGTCACAGGCAGCGTAGCCAATACTGAATAAAAAATGAAGGGTTCACCAGAAGAGCTGCGCTTGATTACTGCATATTTTCAGCATATCTAAACCAACACTATATCTCCTAAGACTATTACTGTGGTTGCTTTGTAATATCATGTACTATTGAAAATAATTTYGCCAAACCCACTCAGCAATATAAGTCCATTGATATTATCCATGTGATATTATCCATGTGTTCTGATTATCCATGTGTTCTCATTATCATTGGAAATGTTAAATCATCCTAATGAAAGTTTGACAGACCATCATCCTAATGAAAGAAAGACAGACCAATTATGACTAGCAGCCTACATGTGGCTAGTATGATGCACCAGCTGTAACACAAAATCGAGACCTTCCAAAATACCTTTTTAAAAATATCCGAACACATTAGTCTTCTCACATCAACACTATAGAGGAACAATACACAACGCAAATCTTTATTTGGATATTTTTTTAGTTTATTTATAATTACTTTATTTTTATTTCACTCATTTGTACAAAATTGTATATGGCATGCACCATGGTAATTTTATGTGATTTTTTTTTTTGAATTTGCAAATCAATCAAAATCATTGCAGGTATGTTTATGTGAGWTTATCCAAACATATAACTGCAGTAATAGCAAGTTAATAAATTGAGCACGGTTTTGAAATGTCCTCTTATATTGACACACTCTTGACGTCATAAATTTTTCACAACTCAAGTGGACCCACGAGCGCATTGAGGTTTCACCTTGCCGATTCCTTTTATAATTACGAATGTTTTACTAAGCTTTCCAATAAGTACCAAGTTTGACAGCATAATGAGATTACAAGGTACATTGTTTGTTTCAATAATTGTCTACACTCGAAATACAGTCATTTTCATTAAGGGTTTTGATGTTAATTGAAATGCTTGCCCGTAAGAGAACAATGAAACGAAAATTGTTATCACTCTTAAGAGTCCTTTAGTGGAGTCAAAGTTGCCTCTTTCTGCGATACCATAGAGCTCTTGTCGCTAACTTTATTTCCAGGAGAGATTAATAAGATTTTGCCATTCGACCTGGTAACCACAACAGTGTTAGTCGGGATGAGAGACTGAGTCCTTACCACACCAGCTTGAACTCTGTTTCTTACTCTTAGTCGAATAGCGTGGGTTCTTTTCCGTCCCTCTATGCTGATTTGAAGTTTAGAGAGACGGGAACTCTGTCCTTTTACGAGAAGACGAGAGACGCTAAGATAGTGCCTTGCCTATAAGGATGTGCTCACATTTTCTGGGAATCAAAATCAGGGGATTCAAAGCGTCCCATGCATTTTACTATCACGCCCCTCACAGTGTTGCACGCCATTGTCATTTATTGTGTTTTTTTAGGCCGTACTTACAATTTATACCTCAAGAATGCAATCTGTTTCTTTTTTAATAGCACAATGTCCTGTCAGATTTCGACCTCCAGAGGGAAAGTGTCTAATAGGATGTCTTTTTGATTCGGATTGCGAACCAAGAGAAATTTGCTGTACGTCAGGGTGTTACAATTCCTGTGGTAAGTAATTCTAGCTAAATTTGTTGTTCTGTTTTTTTTTCTTCTGATGCTTAATCTGTCGGTTTATCACATTTCATAATGATAATAAAAAAGGCGTTTTCGAGACAATACTTACAGCATGCAAAATGACAACTTTAAACAGAATTGGTCGTTTCAAGTTTCTCAGTGGTATTTAAGGCTGTTCTGATGACTACATTTTTCAAATTGCAGTGAAACTTACCAAATGTCAATTGGAAAGACGACGCATCCAAAGGCGAGCAGGAATTGCTTCATACACACCCGAATGTGACGAAAAAGGGAATTTTAATCAAATTCAGTGCAAATTAAATAAACCTAAAGTTACTATTTGCTGGCGAGTCAACAAACACGGCCACAAGGTTCCCAACAGTGAAATATCGGTGAAAATGGGTATTACAAACACTGAAATTTACCCACCAGGCGCAGGAGTTCATTACGGCAAAAACCAAATGGGTAATGRATTCATTTCGTCTTTCATGTTCCATTTTTCACTGATAAATTCGGATTTTTATAATTATTTCTTGCTGTTACTGCTGCTGTTATGGTTATTTTAATAAAAAACTAAAAAAAACTTATTCTTACATTTTCTTCTATAGTGACATCACCTTCCTCTGTGTCAGTAAAATCCACCAAATGCATAAAACGACGACACCGTCGACTAAAAATAAGGAAATCAAATCCAAAGGTTTTTGTGCCAAAGTGCAAACAAAATGGAAAATTCAAACGAACACAGTGTAATSCTTCAGCTGGGAAATGCTGGTGCGTCAATCCAACTACAGGCAAAAAACTCAAAGAAACTGAAGTAAGGAATGGAAGAAAACCAAACTGCAGACAAGGTAGAACTGTCATAATAACTATCATAATAACCTGCGTCATAAGTCACAAACACAACTAGCACTATGATTGTGACTATTTATATTATGTCGTAATCATCGTTGACAACTATGGTAAATGTTTTTGTTTAATTGTGCCTAATACTCAATAGCTCCCATAAGACGTCGGAAATATTATGATTGTTTTCAATAAGGTCACCACAACGGTTGTGGTCGGAAAACTAACCGCAATCGTCGCATTGTCGGGGGTACTGTGAGTGAAAAGGGAGAATGGCCGTGGCAAGCTGCCCTCTTCTTCAAAGGATCTCAACATAAGTGTGGTGGTGCTCTTATCAAACCTTCTTGGGTCATCACAGCTGCTCATTGTTTCAGTAAGTGGTAGTATATTGATACGATATTGAAAAGGACRAGAATGATATTGCATGAGTAATAGCAATAGCTTAAGAACAAAAAGAGTAGAAAACTTTCACTGTGTCCGCGCATAGCCCGATATAAATACTCATTAATTGTAGGTAGGATTAGTCTCCTCTAGCAGCCGTTATGAGTCTCGTTCCCAGGTCTGTCTCGCTGGGAACGAGCCTAATAACGGCTGTGAGAGGAGAYTAGGGTAGAATAAAAAAGACAATCAACTTCGTCTCGGATTTGCATAACTGTCTCGAATTCTCCCAACCCCTCCCGTGTTTTATATTGGGCCATGCAAACACGGAAAAATATTTCTSTTGCATAATTGATTTAACATAATCATTGAGAAATTGTTCTAATACATACACACTCAGGTAGCATWGGATATTGGATCACAGATTAACAATGTGGCAAAAGATATCGTGCAAGCATGTTTGAGTGAAGGCGGACGGGACGAATGCATGTATTTTCAAAGTCGTTTTTGATCAAATATAATTGGCACATTATTTTCATATTTTCATAAGAGAACAAAATCAGTACTTTGGTATATCTGCAAGTGCAATGTGAGTTTTGTAAAAAATCATGCAGCTTAAAATGAACCTATCTGCAAAAAATTGTACAGTATAACGAACTTTAGTTCTATAAGTTTAAGTCTAAAGCAAAAATGATTGTTATTCACTTAATTGCAACATCGCTTTCGCGTCGTAAACAGGGGACATCATCAAAGATAACGATGAAGGGGACATCTCTATTCTTTCCCTTTTCATTTAAAACAATGTGCGCGAGGGCCAAAGTAGCATAACTTTCGAGTTGTTGTTGGCACTCACAGCTGACAAAAGGAAATTAAAGGAAATCAACTAAACTAAAATATCAATATTGATTTAGGATATAGATACTGAAACACTGTTGTACGTACTCATACAGTATTTCCAAGGCTCCCTCTTGTTCTTAATTTTGATGATGTAACCTCTTGAAACCAATTATACGGGGTTTTTTTAACCGTAGGTGTATATTTGTGAACGCTAAAGCTAAAAAGGGCGTAGGCAGTAGGACGTAGACAGTCGATGATTTTATTATTATTTTTTTTTAGTCTAATGTTTTCTTAATTGGACGTTGTACAGTTCTATTACCTATTAATTATATATCTGCATATTATTCCACGCTGTCCAATGAAGAAAATAATTGGACCGGTACCATAAATAAGTGGATATATAATTGAGGGTGTCAATGGGAGTACCCAAAGTCAGTTAACTACTAATTTTTGGGTCAAAAGTCAATTAACTACCATTTTGGCCAAAAGTCAGTTAACTACTAATGTTAGATAGGCATTAACTTTCGGTCTCTTGTATCGAATGCCATTGCTTTATAAATTGCATTTTGGCCTTTGTGGCGTTCAAAGGCCGTCCCATCATTCATTCTATAGAAACCAACGATGACCTTGACAAAGCCAGCCATAATGGTGGGAAGTAGCGGTAAACTAGTGTGAGCTGCGTCGGTGTTTCTAAAGAAACAGTTGTGTAAAAAGATAAATTAAACACTGTAAAAAGGTAGGTGAGGTAACATACTGACGTTTCGGACGTTAATCCTTCGTCGGAGTAAAAGTCCAGCCATGTCTGGTCAACAAGTTCAATGCGGTGAGGATAGCCTGAGTGCTCGTGAAAAGTGATATGTGAATCGCAGACTGACTACCCAAACTGTGACCAGTTAAAAGACCCAAACCAAACTGTTGGACAGTAGATTTTTAATTAAAAGATATGCACATACGCACATGGCAGGAACCGCGACACATATCTTGGATTGGGGGACTAGCGACCCTTGAAGGCGGGAGTTTTAAGGAAAATCAGGGGGTCCTCCCACAGGAAATTTTGAAATAATAAAACTCTTGAAAATGCGATTTTCAGCGTTTTAAGGGSCATCGAGAGCATATAAAAAGCATCAAATCCCGAAAATCGTAATATTTCCTTGCCACTAGTACGCACGTGCGTACTCTACGCGCCAGAATTAAATGTTTCTAAGAATTAAGTCAGTTAAATATACGATTTTTATTAGTCAGTTAACTACTAATTTTTGAGCCAAAAGTCAGTTAACTACTAACCCCATTGACACCCTCATAATTATATAGAAAATTTGGTATATCACCCGTTCATGGATTTGTCATAACTACTCGCGCACGGACAACGCAATTCAGTCTTATGTGATATGATTGGTCTATTTCAATGAAACTACATGAAAAAATACATAGCAAAGTAGCATACAAATAGGAATTCTAATCTTAAAATTAAGAACGCTGCTGTTACGCAATTTTGAGTTATGTAAGACTCGCGCTATACTTCACATGTGCCGAATACAATTTACGAATTAAGTGCATATGAGATGCGACGTATAAATCAATTAAATCAATTGAATTAAATACGACTCCAGTCGAATCTRCGACTTAAACAGATGAAGATAAGGCAACTGGTTCGGCACATGTTCCAAATGCAATACATACACCATTTTTCAATTCTTTCATCTTTTTTTTGTGGTTTGAATATATGAATGAAGAAGAAAAGGGAAATAATGAACATAAAATAGAAGTATATATGGGAATGGAAAGGAGAGAAGGTGTATAGAGGGATGAATAGATGTGGAAAGGAAGGGAAGGAATGAAAGAAAATGAAAAAAAAATCAAAGAACTTAATAACAAAAAACTGTACATGTACAATTAAATAAAGAAATAAAGAAAACAAAGAAACACTAAATAAGTACATAGATAAGTAAAAAAATAGATAAATGAATGTAAGCGAAAATCTGTGAAATAGAAGGTGGCATGTATATGGGCAGTGGAAAGGGAAATGACTGTTGATGACTGGATGTTGTAAGTGTGTGGGGGTGATAGTAAGAGGTGAGCGGAATAAATGAGTGGGAAAGAGATGGAGAACAATGAACATGTTGAGAAGGAAAGGATAATAATGAACATGAAATTGAAAGAGTGTATGGGAATGGACAGGCGGAGAGAAGAATAAAGGACGAAAGGATGGAGAAACGCGAGAAGAAGAAAATGAGTAAAAGAGTTATCATCGGTAGTTATAAAGAGATAAAAAATAGAATCATGAAAAAGTGAGTTTTATTGTGAGTTTTTTGACCGAGAGGGGATTGGGAATTAAATTCGTTATTAAAATCCGGCGTCTAAATCAAATGCCGTATAAATAGGAGTTGTATTCGGCACATGTGAAGTTCGGCGTATAGCGCAGGCCTAAGGCGCTTAAAAAATTGCACAACACTAGCTTATATTCATGTGCAACCATTACATTATTGTACTGTTATAACAATATAATTACTGCCATTTATAACAACATGCTTGCACTGTGAATAACACATGAATAATGAAACCAAATTTAGAGTAATGAGATCCAATATGGCATGAGGATAATGCTTCTCAAGACATMTATTTTTGATAGTTTGAATTCCGTCCCAAAAGGACGTAACTACCAAAGAACTAAAACACGCCTTTTTGTATTTTCTAAATAAGTCTCTCTTATACAAGCATACGGCAAAATGAAGTTGAATAATCAAATCAGCAGAGACTAATGACATTAATAGCAAAGTTAATGCTAATTTACATAATCGAAAATAAAACTAAATCGCTAAAATGCTAAATTAGAATAAAAGAAAGCTTAGATAAGTTTATAAAAGTTAGATAAGTGCTTATAGAATTTTTAAACTTGGGATTCAGTTTAGGTTTTTGTCAACAGAAAAACTGAATGGATTGCATAATGAATCCAAAAGAAAGAGTGGTAAGAACAATTTCTAAACACAAGCAATTTTATTTATCGACAGTATTTTTGTTGTCAGTCCCCTTTTTTTATCAGACAAATTACACCCGTCAAACAGAATTCAATAGCCAAAGTAAAGAAAAATACTCAAACAGAKTCGCCCTGACCGCTAACTCCACTTACGTATTTTTTTTACTGCACTCGCTTTTCCAAGAACGTTGTCATATACAATGGAACTAAACTTTTAACAGAGAAAAGAAAATCACACACTAGTTTTGTTGTATTTAAATGAATTTTCTTTAGGTCATGTTTGATTGTCCGAATATTTGTCATCTTTTATTGGACAACGTTCTTAGGTGTGCATGCATGCTACATTGAATCATATTCATAATCACATTRAATTCTAATCATGATCATTGGATTATTTCTAAAATACGGCATGTATGTTCTTCTGTCATATATAAATTGTCCGAATTTGATTTCCAATGTCCTCTCATTGTTGATTTGCGTGTGTCTTTCTTAAAATTAAATGTAGTATTCTATTTCATTTTATTCATTATGTTATGAATATGTTATAAATTATGAAAAAAAAACTGCAGGAGTATGAAAGTGGCAAAAARTAAGTAGTCGCACCATTCGTTATACAGTTGAATCTCTAATAAGTGGTCACTCTGGAGAAATAAGTTTGTGCAAATGATTTATATGATCGTAGTGTGGATAACAATCTAAATGATGATTAATAATTATTAATAATCGCTTAGATTTCTATCCGCACTGCTACGATCGTATAAATCATTRCACATTTATTCACCGCAGTTCGGACCATTACATCATCAGTAATAATTATATCCTGTGAAAAAGCTTTCTGAGACCATATGAAAAAGGGCGTGGCTAACATAAAGCCATAGTTTAAAAGTAGTTTAATACATCATTACTAATTGGAAGAACATATTATATTCTACTCTCGACCGAATATAAATTATTTTCAAACTAAATTACATTCATAACAACAGTATACAGGAATTGGCATCTCTTTATTGGTTATGCTRCTATGTCAYGGTTTACAACAATATGCTTCTATTACCACTGACCTATATTTCCTTTAAACTTTACGTACTAGAGTTTAGAGATACCTTCGATGGTTCACACTAACTGATTTCACTTATATATACTTCACGCTACTATTCCCAAGAGTATACCCCCTTATAACAACAGCACGCTTGTATTCATTACATATCGTTAGAAAATACATTTATAATGAATATGATCTGAATTAAGGACCAGAAATTRCAAGGTTTGAGTGAAAATAAGTATTGAGGCCTTATAAGCCTCATTTTCTCGATTTTTTTTTGTACATTTTTTGAATGCTCGTAACTCCGATATTCAACATTTGAAACTGAAACTCAGCCAATTTTCTAGTTTATGATATGCTTTTTCTTATGGTGAAAACAGATTTCTCAAAACATGGACCATTTAAGATTCTTATTCCCAGCTTTCTGCTCGTTTTTCATATCTTCAATTATTGCACTGGTCCCCACAGTCAGGTCTATAGTTGCGCATGAGGCTYAATGTAGACTGATCAATGAATATTGAAAAGATCTGTTGACTAGAGGTGAAATGGTCACAAGAACAACGAGTATTCGAACCATGATAAGGCCATATAAAGGATCCTAATAATGATGTTTTATCAGATATCAGGATTCATSCATGTGAACAAATGGCTAATCCAATTGGCTTGACATCTCTTTGATGCATGAGTTTATAAATCTAAGTTAAACATATGTGGTCTTGAGTTTTAAATACCCTGTGTTGAGGATCAATATTACATTATTTTTACATTATTATTGTAAGTACGATCAACGGCAATGCTTCAAATTCTTAGTAAACTTGTCAAATATCGTTATTCAACTTTGTTCACAATTACATACAATTCATTGATYGGTACTTCTTAATCGTCAGCAAAGGAGCTGATACAGCTTCAGCTTTTCGCCCTTATTTTCTCGGTCGAGAGACTGGGAAGTCTGTGAAAAATTTCACTTTCCAAGATACTCGTGATTAATTTTTTTGCTTTAACATAGGTAACGTGACCTCCACAAACCGAGATGATTGGCAGGTCAGGCTTGGCGAGCATTCCTTTCTTAGACATGAAAGCTCAGAAATGAACATTCAAGTGCTTGAGATAGTTGTTCATCCAAAATATACACCTGCCAACATAACGCACCCTGGAGATTATGACATCGGTAGGTTTTCTCCTCTTTCCATAGAGAGCAGGGGAGCTTTTTTTCGTTTAAGTTACATCATGCATCCGAACGATATGAGCCCAAGACTAGCGCGCTATCTTACCACACAAATAGCGCACGACGTCACAAACTGACAGAGGTATATACAAAGAAAACAGAATGGTAACCACGCATTCATATTTGGCTTTGTATGCATATATATGAAGTGTCATCGTGATCATCATTACTACTGGAATGTTGATATTACACTATAATGTTTAAACTTTGTTTTCAGCGCTGGTACGTTTAAACGGGTCTGTTCGATTACGMAAACCAATCAACACCATATGTTTACCTAATAGCTTGCAGTATTTCAAGTCAGGTCAGCGGTGTGTTATAGCAGGATGGGGAAAGACTTCATGGAACGGTCAAACATCACCAGTGCTCCGTGAAGCATGGATTGACTTAGTGTCGAGACGAGCATGCAACGCAAAAGAGTAAGCAATTTGTAATGAAATCMTTGTGACAAGAAACAGAAGCTTTTATTATAAACCTCGCACATACAGGACATAGGTAGTCGGCTAAGTCGTGTCTGCCAAATACAATAATTCCGACAYACAAAATGTTCCTGAGTACACGACTGACTGTTGCTTATTTGTATCAGGTCTTATGATGGTAAGATCAGTAAAAGATTTCTGTGTGCTGGTTTTAAAGAGGGTGGYACAGACGCATGTGCATTCGATAGCGGCGGACCGCTGATGTGTCCCTTAGACGATGGACGTTGGGTTCTCGCAGGGATTATCAGCTGGGGGGAAAAATGTGCTCTTCCACTCAAGTATGGGGTATATGCTAATGTCCACGAATTTATGCCGTGGATATCAAGAAAGATTGGATTAGACAGATAATAGAGCTGGATCAGTGAGAGTTAAATTATTGGAAAGTATTATTAACCAGCATGCCAACTTGACATGCCAGAGTTTATTGTTCGATGCCTCTATACGGGCTCTATTAAGGACAACCGAGTCAATAAGCAATTTCAAGACCAGGAAGCTTGTACATAATATATATGAATGATCATTTAGCTTCAAACTAGAGCTCCGTACAGGTGTGAAAAGGTGTCCTGATTATCCCTAATATTTATACTTGTGAATTATCTTAGGGAAGTCCATAGATCAATTAGATATTCATCGACCATAATTTATGCATACGTTACCATTCGAGCGAATTATTGCTAAACTGCATGTTTTATGTTTACCTCGCAACCGCCCTCTCGATTGTACCCGCTATTGCTAATCTGCCAGCTGCTCAAAAATCTATAGTAGTGTCGAAATGATGATAATTTGCTTAATACTTATCTGTCATTGAAAGAAACTTCTCAATCTCTAATTAACAATGTGTTTCGATAGACAAACATCATCGACATTTGATAATTGCTCCTGATTGGCTTACCCATTGAACAAACCAAGCCAGTAATTTATATATCGCAATCTTTTTTCGACGAGGAAATTTGTTATGCAGCATTGCATTTTAAATCGCCTACCAAATTAGCTAATGCAAACATTGGTTAAAAAATGMCATTGAGATGTACTATTATGTGATCCATAGTCTAAGCGCACCCCCTCAAGACACCATTATTCAATTCATTATTCGATTCTTGGTCGATTTAACATTACATTATTGAAATCAAATTTGAATTCAAACTTCGAAATTTGATTGGATTTTGATCGGATTTTAATAAAGCCTTCTTCGTATTTCGCTTTTAAACATGCTGGTTTTTTGTAATTTCCACAAGTCGATGAAATGCAATGTGCTGTTTGTTAATTTGGTTGGATCTGTTCCTTCTCGTGCGAAAGGAATGACGGTCTCAAAAAACTGGAAATGCTGTGTTTTCAGAGTTTTGAAGATTTGAATTGAATTTTGCATTAATCAACTGAAGTTTGAAAACGAAAAATAAMATGAAAAATCCAATAATGYATTGAATAACMAACTATTCGGGGGGCGCGCTTCATGTCTTTTGATTGTAAAAGCTTAACTAGATCAAGCTTTAAAGCATTTCTATATCAAATGGTGTGGACGCTTGTATAGAATTTTGAAAGTGACTCCTATCGACTCCTATTCCCAAAGGATTCCAGTGGTGGATCCAGGGTGGTTCCATGGGATCCCAGGACCCCCCCTCGAGCATAAAAAATAAAAAAAGTAGCTGGCTTATATCTTACAATAGGTAAACGGCTTTATACACTTTTAYMACATGGCTGCAATGTGCCCATACAGAACTGTAAAGCGTTTTGAGACTTTAAGAGATGCGCTGTCTATAAGTACACTCATGTTACATTTGCTACAAAAAGTTCGTTTTAGGAAAATGCGAAAACAAAGTGAACCCCCCTTTGAAAAATCCTGGATCCGCCACTGGATTCCAAGATGAATGTGTCACTAAACAATTTTTGCCCTTCAAAAACACTAACTCGGCAATATGATTCTTGTCAGTAACAACTTTTACTCCCAGCTTTTGCATGGTCTAAAAGGTACCAGCTAAAACTATGGTACCGGTAATCTTCAACTGACACTCTTAAACAGATCGCTGTCGAATGGCAGGACATCTCCACAATAATATGTATGTATGTCCTGGCTGGTTTAAAGCCGTCGACCYGTTTCATTTTATGTTGCCAAGCAAACTCAGTTCATTATGTTAAGCTAAAGTGCCATTTAATAAAATATTTCWAAGGCATGCGCAAAACAAAGTTTGAACAAACTTAAATTATATGGGCAAATTGTACAGACCGAAAGTTATWTCAAGAAAATAGGAGATTATAAATATAAAGCGAGTATTGGTTTATTCCTTCGAGTGGATATTGAGAAGAACGTTCTCGAGTAGAGATTTGTAGTATTAAGGGACCGTGCACTTTTTATCGGGAGGAGGGGCATGTGGGAGGTGTGTGGGTTTTGAAAGTTTCTCGAAAAAAACATCCCCCCTAGTTGGATACAATTTTCTTAAATGAGCCACCCCCTTGATCGGTCCCCGCTCTCGAGATTCAAATCGGTTGTTAATCCGAAATCGTTAGTGCTATTTTGTTTATTTTTGGTCCTTTGAGGACTCTTTATTGTAAGTAATAACATGGCTTCCTCGGGAGATTAGGGATTAAATGTCCCCGAAGCCGAGGGCAGATAAGTGAGGCTGGAGGGACTTTTACTTATCTGCCCGAGGCTGAGGGACATTTAATCCCTAATCTCCCGAGGAAGCCATGCTATTACTTTGTAATACCATTATTTCCGAGGAAAAATTGAAGTTGAACATGAGCGAATTTGAATTCTTATTTTTTTGCATGCTCCAATGTTTTCAATCAGAAGTAATATAAACATTGCAACAAACAATTCATGCATGAATTGGAATGTGACATGAAAAGAATGGATACGCACTGTTCTAAGAGTATCAAGTACTTTATTGTGTCATTGAAAAGGTTTTCGCAGAACAACAGTACAAAATGATATTGGTATAAGCCTACCATTGTTACTGATTTCCCACCACGAACTTTTAAACGTTCTATGCAATGGTAAAGTTAACAAACCTTAACTTCAAACCCGAAAAGTAGTTTTAAGTATAATGCAAAGAAGTTTATCAACTATTATTTCATACTTGATTCAGTTTTCTTTGTTATTCATAGTGTTGTATCTTGCTTATTCCACAGCTCATTGTGTGTTCAAGTGCTTTATATCGAAGTTTCAGGGCAATATCTATATATTGCCCTTGAATACTAATGTAAATTGCCCTTGAATACCTAATTAACTACTACGTTCAACTTAGAAATTTTCCGTCTGAAACTTTAAACTTAAAAGAAAGAAAAAAAAATGACACCAAGTAGATTCGAACCCACAACCTTAGCTTTGAAAATCCTATACTTAACACGTTATGCTAACTGACTAATCGATGTCAGTTATGGAACAAAACATTTATTTAACATTGCCCAGTTACTTGTTACAAAAGGTATATTGTTAGCATTGGTCTCATGGGACTAACGAGAAAAATGGTTATGCAAATTATTCCCGTTGGGAATTGTCAATGCTGCAAATTTCGCAACCTTTCTAATCGAGGTTTTGGTTTTTAATTCATATGAAAACGGCTTCATTGCCCGATTTAAAAATGAAAATATTAATGCAGTACTTGGAAAACTTCTTCAAGTATAAAATAAGCCAGTTACATACCTCGAACGTCGGCAATCAGCCTATACATCCATCGGGCCTACCGTGTACCGAGTAACAGACACATCGTTTTGTAAGTATTTGTAAGTATTTTTCCCCTGAAAACTATGGAGATCCTTACAAGATATCTAACGCCTACAACAGGAGAGCCGAAGAATGGCCTGCAATCGCACCTGGAGATGATTCTGCCTTGGATCAACTATCTATCTTTCTTACACAGTGTGTGTGCGCAATGGAATCGATTTCATGTCTGTCTATACTCGATCATCCGCACAACCTTCAAACTTTAGTAAGAAAATTACCGTTGTATTTGCAAGACAGATGGAGAAGACATGTCATGACCATCAGGGAATCCAAAGATCATATACCTACAATCGTTGCCAAAATAACTATAATAATAGGTCCCACTATAATATAATATAGGTCCCACTCCTGTTATATATTTTCAATAATCCCCCGGTCCCCCTTAAAATGATCAATGTTGCTGTATTAATGATGTATGATGAGCTAGCTTTTTTAAAAATGCATGACGACTCGCAAGGAACAGGCAACATTGAGAGAGGGAGGGGGGCTTAAGAAGAAGTCAGTTATTTGTTCTTGCGTAGTGTGAAGCGCAAATAAATGTCC